AGTAAAGGGCGAGCGCGGCGTGTAAAGGGCGACCGTGGCGAGTAAAGGGCGATCGTGGCGACTAAAGGCCGAGCGGGGCGCCGAGAGCAGCCTCTCCCGTGCCCCGGTGCGGCCGCCCGCGTCCCCGTTCCCCACGGGAGCGCCCCCGCTTCCCCCCCATCTCCCCGCGGCATGAGGGGTTGGGGGGGAGGGAACCGCTCTTCCTCCCCGCATCCACGTGAAAATCCCAATTATTTATTTATTTTTTTAAGCTCATTCTTCCTTTTATTCCTTTTTTTTTTTTCCCCTGCCATCTCACGACTTCCCGGTGGTCCCCGGCATCCCCCCGCTGCCCGCCCCGGTCCGGCCCGTCCCACGCTGCCGTTACTTCATCCCGAGTGAACGCCTGTCTGAACTTTTCCCTTTTCTAGTAAAAGTGGCAATTCCAGCTGGAGAGTCTTGACTAACAACTCCTTTTTTTTTTCTTAAAAAAAAAAAAGTCTTTTTTTTTTCCCGCAGAAGTCGCTGGCTGAGATGCTTTCCCCAGTTCCAGAGATAAGATAAATAATTTACTGGATGGAGGTCTCTGATTACTCACTCTATTAGCATTTAGAGCAAAGAGCTCCAGCCACCGGGAGCTGAATTATTCCAGACGAAGCCCATCTGGGCTCCCGCGCCCCAGCAAGACCGAGGAGTTCCCAGCATCCCACACATACTTGTGGGATGAATTGCTTCAAATCGAATGGGGTTTTACTGGAAGTGCTGGTGAGCTCCCGACTCCCTTTAGTATTTTTTTTTTTCTTTCAAAAATCATAAAACACAACCAAAACGCCAACCCCGCCGTCGGCTCCGGGGCTGCGGCTCGGCCCTCGCACCGGCCAGGAAGGACTCGCCACCGCTGTTGCCTCTTTTAGATTTCCCGAGAACCCAGCACGTCCTCTTTCAGGGGCTGAAACAACTGGGAAAAAAAAAACACCAAAAACCACCAAAACCCAAACTGAAAAACCTACGTTGGTTTTTACCTGCGAAGGTGATATTTTCGTTTGGGGAAAAAATGTGGAAAATCTGACGCAGCAGCCTTCGTCCTTTTTTTTTTTTTTTTTTGCTTTGATTTTAATTATGTTATTGTTATTATTATTTGGGGTGACGCAAGCTGAGGGGCGGGCAGCGCCTTTCTCCTGCCTTGTTTCCACCTGAGCGTGTTTGGGACGACTGGTTCTGCCGGCGGGTGCTGAGCCACGGGACGAGGAGACTCAGCAGCAGGTCCCAAAACTCGTTCCCAAAACTCTTTGGCGGGACGATGGAAGGCGCCGAAGGAGCTGCCCTGGAACCTCGGGCTCTTTATTGACAAACAAAGCTCACCCCGGGAGTTGCAGGGCTTTCCTGGGGGCCTCCTTCCTTCCCCTTGGGCTCCTGGGGAGGTGCAGCTTCTTCCTCGCTCTGCCCCAACCTGCTAATTAGCGTGGACGGGGAGCAGCGTGTCTTGCAACCCGGGATGATCTGAGGCCAAATCATCCCCGTGTGTAAACCTGCCCAACTGCTCGTTTCCCCCTGGGGGGGGGAAACTGAGTCAGCAGCCGCCTCTTCCTGCTGGCACGGAGGGGTTGCATCCCTTCTGGGTTGGGGAACCCTCTCCCAGTCTTGGAGAAGATGAGGGGGGGACGTTTCCCCACGCCCTGGCCGTGTGGAGCAGGGATGTGTCACCCTTTCCCATCCATCTCTTCCCAGAATAACCCACCTGGACACATCCCTGTTCCTCAGATGACCCCAAAGCTGTGCTGGGAGCCAACTTTTGCCTCCAAGCCCATCCCATGTACTCACCTTTCCCCCTTCCAGCCCTGGTGAGGCCATGGGGATGTGTCAGACCTTCAAGCTACCATGAAACAAACCCCACCCTGCTTTGCCCTCATCCAGGGGAACCCCCTCTTTTCCCAACCCTCTCCCTCCGGGATGAAATCTGCTGAGGATGGCAGGTGCAGGGGAGCATCCTGCACCTTTTAGCTTGGGTTTGCCACTTCCATGGACACAAGGATGTCCAAGGAAGACCCACAGGATGGGTCTTTCCACCCCAACGCTTGCTGCGAGCCCCCGGGGAGCAATTTGCAGCCCAGAGGAGACATCACAGGGCTTCCCAAGGAGGAAAAAACCCAAGCAGGACCCTGCCTGGGGAGAAGCAGGTCCCCAGGGTGGCACATGGTGCTGGTGGCAGGTCTGGGGGAGAGGAGCTCCCAGCAGACATCAAAAGATCAGTTCTCAGCCCTACAAACAATCCCCGGCAGCTTTCGGGCTCTTCAGCGGCATTCCAGTCTAACCGGGGCTGCCTTGCATGATAATCAGGCTTAATTACTGCTTTATCGCTTGATTGCTGTGCTGGGCCCTTGGAGCTGCAGTGTTGCTTTCGCAGTTTACTTTTTGTGTTTCCTCCCCCCCCTCGCCTTCCCCGCCAGCGCAATTAGCAAATAGGTGAAAATGGGGAGGGCCAGGGTGATACCCGGGGGCGGGGAGGGGAGAGGGAAAGAAGGGGTGATTTTCTGCCCAGGGTGGAGGTGGAGCAGATTTGCAGCTCGTGGAGGGTTAAAATTGAGGTTTCCACCGGTGTTCTGCAGCCAAAATAAACAAGGTCAATGCCAAACCAGGAGCACAACCCTATATCAGCCTCAGGAGCATCCCCCTCCGGAGGGGACAGCATCCCTGGAGGAGGGAGGGGAGGATCACGGGGTGATTAAAAGCCCTGACACAGAAAGGCTGTGTGGTTTTCCTACCATGAGCTTTGAGTCATGGCGTGACCTTGGCCGTGTCCGCCCCTGGCTCCCTCCGCTTGGGGCTCGGTGGCCCGTGGAACCGGCTGGCCCAGGGCGTGGGGCGAGGACCTTCCCCGGTCCTCGGGGAAAGGGTGACACCTTCCTCAACTGGGCCAACGGAGATGGTCCCACCTACGCTGGGTGAGCAATCCTTGGCCACACCAACGAAGGAGCCGGCCCTGCCCTTGGCCAGGGCAATGGGTGCTGCGGTTGGGACACCCCCAACGTGCCGTCACCTGCTTGGAGTCACCTCTACAGCAGCGAAGAGGTGTCCTGGTGTCTCACCAGTGTCCGCCCCTGGCTCCCTCCGCTTGGGGCTCGGTGGCCCGTGGAACCGGCTGGCCCAGGGCGTGGGGCGAGGACCTTCCCCGGTCCTCGGGGAAAGGGTGACACCTTCCTCAACTGGGCCAACGGAGATGGTCCCACCTACGCTGGGTGAGCAATCCTTGGCCACACCAACGAAGGAGCCGGCCCTGCCCTGGGCCAGGGCAATGGGTGCTGCGGTTGGGACACCCCCAACGTGCCGTCACCTGCTTGGAGTCACCTCTACAGCAGCGAAGAGGTGTCCTGGTGTCTCACCAGTGACTTTGGAAGGTGTCCTGGTGTCTCACTGGTGACTTTGGAAGAGCAATAAAACGGGTGTGCATCCCCCAACACCATCACGGCGGGGGTGATGGGCATCGCCCCACAGGATGCGGGGGTACACGGAGACTCTGGGGGGGCTGTGGAGGTGCTGGTCTTCCCCCAAGATGTGGGTTGGGATCGTGGGATGCTACAGGGAAACCTGGGTTGGGAAATGGCCCGACGAGGTTGGGGCAGGGAAGGGGGCGGCTGGGGCCGAGCCGCTCGTGTTTCACATCACGTCAGGGCTGAGGAATTTCCTCTGCTCTGGGGGTGCCTCGCAGAGAAAAAGGGGGAGGCTTTAAGGTTTGCCGGGGATGAATAATAGCCAAGAGGAGAAGGGATTAAAAGTGTTACCCAGGGGCGGCTGTTTACAAGCAAACCCTCTCTCGCAGAGCAAAAGGGGGAAAGAGGGATGTTATCGGGGTGACGGTGGGGACCCCGGGCGGTCCCCGCATCCCACCGAGCACAGCGGGGCAATTCCCCTGATTCCTCTGTGGTTCTTCCTCCCCTTCCTCCCCCTGAGCCCCTCCGCAGTGAGGTCCCAGCAGCCGGTCCCTCCCCCCCCCAACGTGTGGTGTGTCCTGGGGTGCCTGGCCTGGCTTCTCCTCCACGTCCTCCGGTGGCCCCAGGAGGTTTCCCATCCCTCCCGCCCCAAGCCCTGACACAGAAAGGCTGTGTGGTTTTCCTACCATGAGCTTTGAGTCATGGCGTGACCTTGGCCGTGTCCGCCCCTGGCTCCCTCCGCTTGGGGCTCGGTGGCCCGTGGAACCGGCTGGCCCAGGGCGTGGGGCGAGGACCTTCCCCGGTCC